CATGCCCCCATATTTTATGTGGTGAGTCTAGGAAGGACTTCACTACAGTGTCAGCCTCACAGGAAGCCTCCCTGGGCCCAGCACCACCACCACCCACTGCTTGGAATATAGTCAGTTGGGTGCAGAGATGGGTTCCTTGTGGGTCCCTACTGTTGGGTCAATAGTCCAGACTGTGAAGGAAACTTCTGCCCATGATCAAAAATCAGAGAAGGCTGAGCAGAAAACTTAGAGAAAATGAAGCCCAGAGAGGTTGAGAGAATTCCCAGGGTGCCACACAGAGGTGCAGTGGCAGCTGGAGCCCAGGCCTTTGGTCTTCTAGTTCAGTGCCCTGCCTATTTCTGCTGCACCACCTCCTTCCCATCAAGCAGCCACTGCTAGCACTGCAGACACTATGCCAGCCCAGGGCAAGACCCTGTCCCCTTCTGCACACCCCTGACATACCCCTTGCAAGTTACTGGTCCAGATTTGTCATCCAGTGTGGTTATATGTTCCTCACTGATCTCTGCTTTTATCCCCCAACAGGAAGACAACATGGCCTTTGGAAAGCCTGCCAAGTAAGTGATGAGCACCCATGTGACTGGCCCTAAGGCCAGGTTTCTCCTGCCCAAAGCAGCAGGCTAGGCCTTCTGGGGCATAGCAGGAGCCAGCAGCTGAGGAGGATATGGAAGGGAGGAACAGCTGAGGCCCACCAGAGCATAGCAGCCCTGTACCAAGCATCTGCCAGGCCAGTCCCTGGGTAGGCCTTTCCTGTGTACCATCCAGCCTTGCCCCCAGCTCTGCAAGGTCATGTTTTCAACTTTGTGGCAAGGATGAGGAAAGAAGGGGACTTAGTCAAGGTCGCACAGTTAGGAAGTGGCAGAACTGGGACTAACACTCGATCTGTTTTCCTTCTGCAACCTATAATCACTCTTCTGCTTTTTAGAGCAAATAAGGTAGCTACTGTTGGTTTGGTTTGGGACTTTGGGTCTCCATTTTTTTCAGTCTCAGGTGTCCACCTTGGTTGCAATCCTGATGATAATGCCTCAGATATTAGTGTTCTCAGGACATCAGGTGACCTGTTGCCCAAGGCCACACCAGGAGGGGTGGGGGGACGAAGAGAAGTTGGTGACCTATATAGCAGAGGCAACCTAGAGCACAGCTGATGTCCTCAAGCAAGTAGCATTGTAGTCCAAGGGTCTCTGAGCCAGGTATTTGCTGGCAGACTGCTTTGCAGGGACAATTTTCAGATACCCTTTTCCAGGCAAGCTCCCCTGAGCAGCCCTAGTCCAGGCCACTGTCTTCTAGGCTCCTCAACCAAGCCATTCCGCAACACAGCACCAGGGGCACTGTGACCTCCCAGCTCTCCTTGGCCCCTGACCCTGAGGCACTCCATCACTTGCAGTAGCACTTTTCACCCAGCTTCAGGTTTGTGGGTTTTATTTAGCTCCACTGGCTTCTCTCCCACTCACCCAGCAAGCTAGCTGGGAGATGGGGAGAATTGCTTCCTGATGGTAAGTTCCCCACACGACATGGCCTCACCCGCATCTTGAGCCTTGGCTGCCAGTGTTCCTTCACCCTCTTTCTCCTGCTGAATCACTTAATTTCTGGGACATACTGCAATTTTATGCCTCTCACTTTGTTTAAACCATTCCTTTGGCCTAGAATGCCCACCTCCCCCTTTCTTTCCTGGCCAACCCCTCTGTCTTTAGACACTCAGGCGTTTACCTCCAGGAAGTAACCCGTTTCCCCACAGTCTTAGTCCATTCAGGCCACCATAACAAAATGCCAGACCCTGGATATCTTATAAATGACATAAATTGATTTCTCACAGCTCTCGAGACTATATAGTCAAAGATCAAGGTGCCAATTGATGTCACTGTCTGGTGAAGACCCATAGTGCCTTCTCACTGTTTCCTCACATGGTGGAAGGAACAAGGTCTCTCTCAGGCCTCCTTTATAAAGGCACTATTACCATTCATGAGGGTTCTACTTCTCCTCCCCAGAACCCCACCTCCTAATACCATCATACTGGGGGTTAGGAGTTCAGCATATGAATTTGAGGGGATACACATCCAGGCCATAGCATCCTCAAGCTGAGTTGTTCCACATCCTCCCAGGATCCACCCTGATACTCAGCACCTCCCCTGTTCTGCAGGTGTCTACTGCAGGACTCTTAACCTGGATTTTATCTGGTTCCTCGTAGCCTCAGCACCCAGCTCAGGGCACAGAGCTGAGGGGCCACAGGGAGCTGAGCCAATGTCCAGAACCCCCTCTCCCCTCAGGTACTGGAAGTTGGACCCTGCTCAGGTATATGCTAGCGGGCCCAATGCGTGGGACACAGCTGTGCACGACGCCTCTGAGGAGTATAAGCATCGCATGGTAGGTTCCTGGGCAGGGCTGGTGCTCCTGAGGCAGGACCAGGGGAGAAAGTTCCCATACAGCCCATCCCTGACCCAACCCTTCCGGCGCCTCCAGCACAATCTCTGCTGTGACAACTGCCACTCACATGTGGCATTAGCCCTGAACCTGATGCGCTACAACAACAGCACCAACTGGAATATGGTGACACTCTGCTTCTTTTGCCTACTCTATGGGAAGTATGTCAGGTGAGTTGCCTGCCCTCCCAACCTCTCCCTTGGGGCAGCTCTCCCAAGGATCCTAGAAAGATTACCTTGGAGCAAGGACAATTGGAGTAGTGCCAATTGGAGCCGTAAAGGTTCTAGAATAACTAGCTAAGTTCCTGGTGGAGAGGGAGGTGGCTTTGCTGAAATCACACTCTATCTGGGTCCCCCCAACACAGCTCTGGCACTTGCTCACTGTGCTACCTTAGTAACTGCCTCGCTGAACTGCAGCTGTCCTGGGTAAAATGGGGCAGTGATTCTGGCTGCTCAGAGAGGCTGTGAGTCTGCAGAGCTCTGTACTCGAGTAAAGTGAACAGCTGGGTCCTCATAGGATGGTGTGGTGACCACCCCAACAGGGTTCCCCTGCCAAGCATCCCTTGTCAGAGGCAGGGTTCTAGGCAGGTGGACTTCAGTGGTAGCCTAGGAAGCTTCGTGTGAAGTCAAAGGCATTCATCCAAATTCAGAGGTAAAGAGAGAGCTCAGAGAGGTTGAGTTAGTCACTCGTGGTTCTACAGCACATGGCCACAACAGACCCCAGACTTGGAGCCACCATGTGCTTGGACTGATCTGGCCACCCAGCTTTCCTCTTAGCTGTGCTCCTCATTAAGAGTTTCTAAAGTATTTTTTTAGTCTTGGGACGCATTGTTGGGTCCCCTGAGAAGAATGTACTGGTTACATGGAGACTGAGGCAGAGCCAGGGTTGAACCCAGGCCCCTGGCTCCTGCCACAACATGGTGCTAACTTGCCAATCCCACCTCTTCCAGCAGGACCCATTGTGAGGGTCGTGGGCAGAGGGCACTTGTGGCTTCCACACCCCAGCTGATACCTGGTCTCTTGCTAGAGAGCTCTCCCAGAGACGGGTACTTATGGAGGGAGCCAGTGAGGCCCAGACAGGATGAGCACGTCTCTTCCACCTAATCAGTGAGGGTGGATCTCCACCAGGAGCCTAGAACAGCCCCTGCCCAGGACTGTAGTTGGTGGCCTCCCAAAGTAGGTGCCAGGCCCAACCCAGTCCCTTGGTTGAACAATTTTGGGGGTGAGGGAGTGTTTCCAGGGGCTTCTTAGGAGTGGCAGCTATGTCAGGATCTGTGGGTAGGGCTATGGGCTTCACACACCTGCTCACCTGGCCCTACCTGTTTTGTACTCTGTCCCTATTTCTCTGTCAGTGTCGGGGCCTTCGTGAAGACTTGGCTGCCCTTTGTGCTCCTCCTGGGCATCATTCTGACTGTCAGCCTGGTCTTTAACCTCCGGTGATGGCTGTCCCATGGTCCTGAACCAGGCTCCAAAAGAGGCAGCTACCACCCTCCTTTGGTTCCAAATTCTTTCTCCTCACCCCAAAAGGCAGGGTTGGGCCTGCTTGTTAAGGACCCTGGCATCTGGGGTAGTCTGAGGATGAGCCGTGGGGTGAAGTGTTTGTTATCTCACTGCCCATTCAGAAGCCCCTGGTCCCCTGCTCCCTGGGCTTATGACCCCCACCCTTAAAGTCCCTTCTTTATTTTTGTGTTGGAAAGACCTTAGCTTCCTCTGTAGAGCTTCTGCTGGTGCCTACTGGACTCCTGCCTTAGCCCAGTGCCCAGTGTGAGGAGGGGAGGACATTTGGACCCACTGGACAAGGCAGCACTGGGACCAGAGCCAGCCCTGCCCTTCTGCATTAGCTCTGGTCCCAGGGTGGGCTGGGGTACACTGGCAAGTCTATCAGCTAAGCTACCCTGGGCCTCTAGAACAATCCAGAAGGGCTGGCTGGGCCTCTCAGCAATCTGCCAAAAGCTCCTCTGGGGGAAGTGTGTACCCATTTCCTGTGGTCCTCCAGCCTATACAGTCCCTCTTAATCCCCCCAGTGCCTCCCAGCATTAGGCTCATTTACCCAGCAGTTTGGGGCGTGGTTGGAGAGGTGTGTGGAGCTGACATGTGCCAGAATGAGCCTGTAAACAGCAGTGGCTCCAGCCCCAGGTGTGGGCCTTGGGCTGGTGATGGCTCCCTTTGGGTCCAAATTACAATAGCCTGCCAGCACTGCCGTGCCATCAGAGAGCAGAAGGGAGGCTGCCCCCCACCACCACCTAACTACAGCTCCCCCTGCAAGTTGTCAAGAAAGGCCCTGTGCCACCCACCTTACCCTCCTGCTCCACGGATTCCTTTGTGAGGGGCCCCTAGGCAGGATAATAAAGAGTTTTGACTTCAAGTGGTGTTCTGCCCTTGTTTTCTCTGTGGCCCCCTCACCCCTCAGCTCACCTTCCTTTGGCAAGGGGTCTGGTCACCAGCGTCATGATTGAGTCTGTGTTCAGTGCCTGGAATTTACAGTGCCACCAGCACTTTTCAGGTATATCCTGCCCCATGCCCCAGTTATGGGAATCCCTGCCACTCCACATCCACTATTTGAAAGCTTTCTCTTTGGCTCGGGGCCTGTGGCTCAAGTGGCTAAGGCGCCAGCCACATACACCTAAGGTGGCGGGTTCGAATCCAGCCCGGGCCCG